TTTTAACTTTTGAATCCTTAATTTGTTTTTCTTTTTTTTTTATCAATTTAGAATGAAGGAATAATTTCCCTTGCTTATTAGCAAATTGGCATATTGAGTATTCTTTTTGCTCGTAGTTTTAACTACAAAAGGTAATCCATCTCTAACATTTCCATGTTGGGTTGAACCAACAATACCATTGGATTCAAGTGGCTAGCGTATCAGATTTAGTAATGAATTATTATTATTTTTAGAATTTAAAAAAAAAAAGAGTAATAAATTAAATATGTTGATGCATAAATTTGACCTATTAGAATTACCAGATTGCCACCAATCTTCTATAAGAGAAAGAATTCGATAAAACCTGCAAAATAGAAAATATTACACACTGGTGTGGTGCCAGCAACAAAAAATCTGACCGTTTAGCTATTGTGTAGGTTTCTTTCTGAGCAATTGCCCCTTCGTCTTCCAAAAAAAAACAAAAAATCTGATGCTTAAGTCACGTATCTCGAGATCTTCTACACCGACGGGTCTATTATATATGTAATGCACAAGGAGGCTATCGAGATAAGACAACCAATGGATGACCCATTCTAACCTAGGCTAATTAGTTTGGCCCCATGGCTAACCAAGGGATGATCATCACAATGACAAGCTGACCATGTGAAGTTGGTCGAGCCAACCAAGGTCGGTCAGCCATGTAATCGACCGAGTCGACCAGCTTGACTAAGGCGCTGATCGGCCTTGTGACTTGGTCGAGCCGACCAACCGCCCATGGGCTGGTTGCCTGTGGGCCTTGGTCCTTGGGCCAAGTTGGTTCTTAGATCTCAGCCTCTGAGTTGTTCTTGGGTGACCGCTTGATATCCGAGCTTGGCTCGTTGGAGTTTGATCGTTTCAATTCGTATTCTTGGTCTTGCTTTATTCCACCCCTAGCAAGAAATATATAAGTTATATCTATTTAAAAGTAATTATTTACTAGTATAAAGAATTAATTTTATTCGTAAACAAAATTAGTTGTTAAAAAATTAAATATTTTATTCATAATTTAGCAAATTAGTTAATAAAATATATACTAATCATTTAAAAATAGAATAGGTGACGAGTCAAGGCAAGATGGAAATGCATTCTTTATTATTGGAGCGAGGGCCGACCATAGGGAGATTTTTGTCATCCCAATGTGGTGACATAAAAATAAGAGTTTAGAGATAAAAAGAAACTTTCTCGAGAAAAATTCAAGAGAGAATAAATTTATAGAGATAAAGAAAAAAGTTTAGAGAAATAAAAGTTAGATTAAAAAAAAATTAGCGAGAGAAAATTTAAAGAGAAAAAAGAATAAACTTGAGAGCAAAACACACACAGGTTAAGTGAAAGAAAGTGAAATTAGAAAGATAAAAGAAAAATTATAATGACAACAAAATTTAAAATCAGAGAGATTTTAAAATTCATAACCCAAATGGACACAAAAATCTTCCAAACAAACTACAATCAGCTGCTTAAAATTCCATGGACATATTGACATTTCCATCAATATTTTTTTTTATGTCAATTGATGTTTTCATAGTACTGCAAAGAATCAACACAATATAAAAAAAAAATATATAAATATAATATCATAGACATAATATCAATTATATTAATAATTTTTAATTTATTTAAAGTGTGAAATGCTTGTGTTAATTAACATTTTTATTATACAAATTTTTTATTTTTAGAATTTTTTAGAAATATCCATCGACATTATATCAATGTTTTCATTTACATTTCTATATAATTAAGACATCGACATTTATCTCGTCATCAACATCTCAAATCTTGCATTTGAAGAGAGATCCATAAATATGCTAGAGTGGTGAAAAACGATGTGACACGTGGACCAATCAAAAGAGCTTACCATAACTTAAGGTATGACCATAGCTTGGCCAAGCAATACCTCAACATTAATTAATAGCTCGTCCAAAGATTTAGCTCAGCCAAGTATATAGCTGGACTATCATCTTTCTAGCTGAGTTATACCACAACAACCCACCAACAGTCTTCTACAAATAGTTCTAACCGTCGGGTAAGTGGGTCCCATCGACCACCATCTATGAATAACTAGATTCATTTCATATGCAGGTATGTAATTCTGATTCTTCAAATTGAAAGCTATAGATTGGATTTGTATTGACTTAAGCTTCGAAGTGTCTATTTTCTTACTAGAGTCTTCCCTCGTGACCTTCACTCTTCATAGGTCGACTCGTATCGTTTGGAGGTTAGAATTCTACATCCTACGGAATAATAAAAAAGTAATGGAGCAAAGCAATAATATTACATAAAATAAAAAGTGGTTTAAGTGCTTCTAGTTTTGGTTTTCAAACTTAAAAAAATATATATAGTTCCTCAACCCTTAATTGTTTTGTTTTTTGTCTCTAAATTTTGCACTAAAAAAAACCCAATTTAATCCTTACCATTAACTTTTG